TTCTCACCGAAATACTTTAAGTAGTTTCTGCAGGATATAACAAAAAAAAACTGGTGGTTGAACTGGTGAGAACTCTCTAATATAGAAGAATGATGACTGAAAGACAGCCTGAAAGTCAGCAGACACGATTTGAGAGACAAATTGTAGACAGAGCATATGTTTAAAGAGGAATAAGAAAAATTAAAAGTCATCAATCTAAAGAGTATAAACAAAAATGGTTCCATGTGCAAAGGGAAGAGCACTCAAAGTGTAGTATCTGCATGCAGTCTGAAGCTGAGGGAAACCTTCAGGGATCTGAGACATTCTTAAAGCTCACAGCAATAGCATATAGGGATACGTGTGAAAGACAGTCACCAGTGAACCTCTGACAGATAGGCAGGTATCAATAGGAGTGAACACATCCTCCATTTTTACTCAAATGAGTTTCTCTTTTACTTTTCTCCCTGTCTCTAAAGAGTCTAATACAGTCTCACTTTGTTTTGCATTTAAACCACAATTATTCTTGCGGATCCGGACTTGATTTTAAACAGCACTTCCCGCAAATTCCACATCTCAGCTGCACGGCTGAATTTTTGCTACTGTTATCACGACTACGTAAGTATGTGAGTGTGATTTACAGTTGAGGATTTGACCCAGAGTCTCAGTAACAAATCTGAAATGAAACCTTTGTTTAAGTTTTGACCTGTTACCATGGAGCTAAACAGACCCAGGTTCTCACACACAGCAATTGCCACGTTGGAAAAGTAGTCAGTAATCTGTTCTTGGAGTCAATAACTTAAATTAAAATAGAAACATCCTTATCCTTACTTTGGGAGGGAACAGAATATGGATGAGATATGTTTCATATTAATAATTTAAAGTTGGCCACGTGTGAATTAGACTACATTTATTTTTGATAACTACTGAATATGAAACAGCTTAAGTATCCTAAAACTAAAACTAGAGCACACGAAGGAAGAGACAAGTAGTGCAAGTTTTTTAAGACTTTTTAAACAGTATTTTACCCTTTTTCTTAAATGCACCCGATGCTATTTAATATTAAACAGCTTAAGTATCCTAAAACTAAAACTAGATCATACGAAGGAAAAGACAAGTTGTTTAAGTTTCTTAAGACTTTTTAAATAGTATTTTACCCTTTTTCTTAAATGGACCCAATGCTAGATTAGCATTAGATTTTATTTGTTCATACTTACACGGTTATTTTACACCTTGACTGACTTTACAAGAGCAAAGCTATCCAGTCCTACTAATGACCTAGTTCTTACTGTGGAAACATATTTAACTTTATTGCAAACATATGGTGATACAACACAGGCACGAGAAACAACATGCATGGGCGCTTTTCTCAAGTTTGGAATTCAGATGTTTCTTTAAAACTTGGTAAACCATAAAAAACAGCTAGTGATGGAAAATAGGTTTGAGTATTTCAACAATTTGAGTGATTCACAGAGAGAGAAGGATTTCACAATTTACAAATAAGTCGAGTTTAGAAAATCCTGTGCAAAATACGTAACGCTGTGTCAAACATATAGTATGTTGTAAGAAAATAAATGGTGTGGAAGGAGTGTTTTATCACAATAGAATTATGAAATTATCAGAGTAATGAAGATTTCAGTGTTTCACATCTCAAAATGGCACCCGTGGTGCAGGGAAAATACTTTGTCCTAGTCAAAGAGGAAGAAATGACCAGGAAACACAAGTGAACCTCTGTAAAGGCAGAATTTTGTATACCTGTTTCGACAGAACTTGGTGGCAGTAGAGACAATGTTCTATATGAAAAGAGCCAGATGTGAGGGTCTGCCACGCAAAGGAACGATCAATCCGCTCCTGAGCTCGCTATTCAACGATAAGTCCGACAGCTGAGCATGTCTCTAATCCCACAGAGATGCTGCAGGAGAAGGCTTCAGCTGGAGCGGATGAACATATGAGCCGGGCCCAGACAGACGGAGAGACGGATCTCCTTCCAGACCAGTCCCAGCTCGGCCTCTCCCAAAGTCCCACTGTATCCGGCTCCAGTGGGCCTGAGCAGGTACACAAAAAAAAAAACACGCTGCCGTGCAGTTGCTCTGTGCGTCTGCAGTTGAAAATAGGAGTAAATATTATTTACATATGACCAGATATGTTTTTTTATTAATACCTTCAGCTTTTTGGCAATATTTACATTGTAACCAGTGAAAGAACCAAAAGTCACAGAAAATATATATTTAGTAAATGGAAAAATGATTCAATAAATACATCATAGTGATTAATTAATTTGTGTTTCTGTGAAAAAATGTTTGAAACTGCGTTTTGGGTGAACAATATGTTCTTTCTTTATTTCAGAACATTGAGAACATTAAAGTTGTTCTTCATGAGAGGGAGCTGTGGAAGAGGTTCCATGAAGCCGGCACAGAGATGATCATCACCAAAGCAGGGAGGTGAGTGAAGCCCTAAACGCTCCATTTTTGACCCCAAGTTAAGCCCAGCATTGAAGATTAGCAGAATCAAAATTGCTCAGTGTGACACATTAGTACTGATTGGTGTAATCGTGTGTTTTGTTCCAAAAGGAATACTATTACAAGTATGTATGTAATAAGGCATAATGTAAGGCAAGTGATTAATATCAGAACTGAAAAATAACTAATATAACATTTTGACCTACACAAATATTTACTGAATTTATCATTTTTACCTAATTTGACATGGAATTCATAACAGAGAAAACGTTTGCATGCACTTGGTAGTTAGAAATCAATAATTTACCTTTTTTGGAAGCACGCAGAGACGTGGTGATAAGTTATATGTGAATGTCTTACAGTGAAAACTATACCTTTCCACAGCCATCTGCTTACACGGTTGATATTTAGAGCAGTTCTGTCTTTCAAGTAGAGACAGAAAAATTCCTGCCACATATATATAATTGAAACCACAAATGACTGCTAGGCTTGTTGGATTTAATGTGTCCTGAGGATTACACGGTGAAGCCTTTGGACATTAACCAGAGAATGAAAAAGCTCAACCTCTGCCTCCCATTCTTCATTGGATTTTTTTTTATCTTCCACATGAAAAAAGAAAGAAAAAAACCTAAAGGTCACGACATTCTTCCCTAATGCTTCATAACCATAAGAGATGTTCTTTCCCACGTCCATCTGATAAAGTGGGCTCTGAATCCTTAAAGCCTTTTGAAGGCCTGTGCAATGATGTAGTTGTGGAGCAGGACTCCGAAACCTGTCTTCGTTTACCTGCAGTCAGACTGCAGCAGACGGTCACAAAAAAAAGTCCTCAATCTTTAGGAATATCAGCTCATAAAGGGAAAATTAGCACCGCCAACTGCGCTGCACAGCGTTGGTTAATGTGTTATCCCTAGCAAATACGTAGATGGATAGGATGGCTTCGGAATCAAATTTAGGAAACCAAAATTCCGAGTAGCTTCACATGGATTTTCTTGTCTAGTATTTAAAATGTCATCTAGCCGATGTCACAAAAAAGTAAATCCCACATTAGTGCCACAATACAGGAGCAGAAATTGTAAGATTGGGACACTTCGCATATGCATGTGTGTGTACATGCATATGTATATACATGTATATGTATGTGATGTATTTGTATACATATATATATATATATATATATAAAACATCTAAAAGGCATCCCATGTCCTATTTCTGATTAGATTATTACTTAACTGTAATACCATCTTAATCTAATCAAATCAAGTCAATAAAATCCAAATGAGTGCAATTCATTTATTGACAATCAAAAAAGAGTTACCTGACAAAACAAATGAAACAAATGAACTCCATCAAAACAACTCTAATCCCCTGTCTCGAGTCTGCACGATGTAACGGTAAAAAAGCCAACAAAGTGTTGTAAATTTACATTAGTTGAAGTTTTTATGCGAGTCTGCGGGGCTTTACTCCATAAAGCTCTATGACTTTCTTTTGTCAGACAGCTAAATATTTTGTCAATTCAATCTGAGAAGCAGCTTTACTGTGCGTCAGTGTGCTATCCATCCATCCATTTTTGTAACTGCTTATTCCCTAATGGGGGGGGGGGGGGGGGGGGGGGGACTGGAGCCTAACGCAGTTGTCAATGAGCAAGAGGCGGGGTACACACAGAGACACACAACCACGCAGACTCACACTCACTCCTAAGGGCAATCTGGAATGTCCAATCAACCTAACATGCAGGTTTTTGGATGGTGGGAGGAAGCTAGAAAGCCCAGAGAGAACCCACCAAGGCTCAGGGAGAACAGGCAAATTCCACATGGAAAGGTCCTGGTTTCCCCGGGGACTCGAACCCAGAACCCTCTTGCTGTGAGGCACGGTGGTGTGGTGATCATCAGTGTGTATTGGACAGGAGAAGAACGCAATCCCTTAATGCTGAAAACCATTTTTCCTTCAATTAGAACATGGATGAATGTATTTTTAGTATTTGAGTATCTTTTGAGTACTTTAGATTCATTTTGTTGATTAGAATTTTGGAAAAATACCTTCAGAGCACAAATGAAACAGTCTCCTCTTAACAGTACTTAGTGACAGTTGGGAGAAAAAGAAGGATATCTGCTACAATGAGAAAGGGGTCTGATGGAAAGTGATGTGGTGAAAACAAAGTTTTCAGTATGTGCTAGCAAAGCGGACAAAGTTTAGTCAAAGTTAACTTGCAAAGTTACCTTTACAACTGCAAATGTGAAAAGATAATGACAGAGTGAAGAAAGTGTATTTTTAATGTTACTTTGAAGTTAAACACTTTGATAAAGAGCAACATGTGCTAAGATAGAAACTCCACGGTAGTTGGAGGCTACTACATAGACTATGATATGTATTTTCATTGTTGTTCAGAGAGGTAGGGCCTTCGATTTTGACAAGGAAAGTCTGCAAAAGGAGCCTGTGATTGGTTGCAAACTAAAGTGATTTTAGGCGAATTCCCAGAGGGGATTGGAAATATAAAGGCTGCATTTGTTTTGAGAAAATGTTGCCATATGTTTTGTAAATAGAGTTTGAAAATGCAGAGATTTTATGAAGCCATATTAGCCTAGATACTGTACGTTTACATCTGCCTTAAGGTGGACTCCAGTCCACCTCACTAAGGGATCTATTATTTTTATAAGGGATTGAAAATAACATAATTATCATTTTACTAGACAAGAAGTCTAGATTTTCTTCAAAATTACTCTTCCACACATACGTTAAACAATATGACAGCATTCTTAGTTTAATACCTATTATGACATTTGTTTATAATCTTTCTTGAAGTAATTGTGATCCAGGAAAAAGTCAACGTTAAAAATACGTTATGGAAATAATTAGTCAGACCTGCCCGTTGCCCCATCTGGGATGTTTGTGCCCCCCAAAAAAACACAACAACATTTGAACCGGGGAACAATAAAAGTGCGATAAGCATGCTGGCAAGCAGAGTACCACAGAGCTGCCTGTGCAAAGTCTGCATAATGTCTGGGCCGAATAAATCAGACGTGCCGACACTCACGTGGAGCTTCTCTGGGCAAAAGCTTCAAATTTACAGAGCTGCTATGCATGTGTGCAAATTTCTGTGGCTTCTCTTTTCTTTTCTTTTTTTAAATCATGGGATCCGTGGAGATGAAAAGGGACAGTTGCAGAACAGTCACATAATCCTGGAGATCCCGTGTCTTTCCCCCTAAAACGCTTAAACGAAACCGTCTCTGCCTTCTCAATCGTCTCCCATGCAGCACCTAGCCGAGTCTTTGTTATGATAAGTGTCGCTGCCCCAGCGTAATCCTCCCTCTTCAAAATTCCCAGCTCGCTATCCCTCTTTGTACACAGCCCGTCAAGGGAGCGGCAGTAACAGGTTGATAAGAGGAATCCGGCGCCCACAGTAGGCCCGGGTCTACCGGACTGTAGTGCTTCATCATTCTACACGCCAACCCCCACCCTCAGCGCTCCTTTTGATCTTCCAGGGTTAGTGAAGATTCCCAAAGAGGAATGGATCAGTGGAAGGCCTACACATGTGGAATTGTTAGGAGAAACAGCTGGCTGGGCACAGACACACACACACACACACACACGCTGACACTGATATCATACACACACTCGCCGACTGCCATTTGTCATGCTCCTCTTAAATCCACTGACTTAGTCACACCGCCGAATGTATACGTTCGCCTTCGTGTCTTCTGCTTTTGAAATGAAGTCAACCTTAGTTGGAGTATGAATTCAAACACCGTGTAACCCTTTTTGTTTACATGTTTCATGTTGTTTATTAAAAACAGGGTTTAGGTGAAAGTCATTAGGCAAAAAAAATAGTGACACTAACAGCACAGCCTTTTATAGTGTAGCTTTTTATTTCCTCTCCATAAATCCACTGTTGGACATCCAATGGCAGCCCAGGAGTTATAGCTTATCTTTGGTGTTAAAATGGCTAATTGACCCAAAGCGGTTTTTGGTCAATCTCTTCGTATTTTATGCAGAAGGAATGTTTTTTATTCAGTTCACACAAACTCTTGCTCCAGAATCTTTCTTTCTAGCTGGTACCGAATATATGTTTTGGTTTTGGGGGCAAATTCAAACTTTTCAACTTTTCCAAAGCAATATTCAAGCAATCTTGACTATGTGGGTGTTTTTTTTTGTTTTGTGGCCAGCAAGCACAATTTATTATGCCGTATTCAATATTTGAACAAGAACCATTCTGATGCTTACTTTGCAGGAACACTGAACCAGAAACCGCTGCATTTTGTGTCGTTCACATTCATTTTAGTTCAAACATTATGACTGGAAAGGCAGCAGTGGGGGCTACTTTGTCAATTAAGAAAGAAAATCTATTTCTGCATCCATTATGTACGCTTACATCTTACGTATGGTCACTTTTTTTAGTGTGTATTCACGATTCATGCTAAACTCAAGAAATTTGACCCGTCTGATGCCACTTTTGCCAAATCCTCATATTCATCCAAGCCTCCTTCTGTCTGAACTTACTACAAACTAGTTTGAGTTATAAAGTCTTAAAGGTCAACTTAAGTGTATCTAAAATGAAGAATTAACTGATCATGCCATATCCTCTTTAATTTAGTCCAAAGTGCTTGTTTGTAAAAAAAACAAAAAAAACAATAATTTTTTACCAATAGTAAGTTTTATTAGTTAAATTTGATAGAACTTTATTGATCCCTTTAGGAAGGTTTCCTCTGGGAAATTCCAGCAGCAGTATCATTACAGCAAAAACAAAGACTATAAAGAAAGGAAAAATACATATCTTTATATATGTATGTACAAGAAAGAATATTTGACAATGAATAGATAAGGAAGATATGGGTAAACATAAGGTAAACAAAATACATTGGATTGAAATTGAATAGTGTGAATTGCCCTCAATATAACTGGATACATTTAATTTTTCTGCAAGAGCGAGTTTAAACTCTTATGAACTCAAAGAAAGAGTTTTTTCTGGGACCATTATTATCTTATTGTAGTTTTTAGCTATAAGATATTATTTGTAAAAAACAACAACATCGATATGTGCTATTTAACAACTTCAAATGATAGAAAAAAGAAAAATATAAAATAAAAAATACAATAACAAAAATGGCTGACTGAGACAGATGTAATCTGCAACACGTTCAGTAGTTGTCACGGCAAAAAAATGTTTAAGGATTAATTTGCCTAAATGTTTGCTGTCTTAAACAGACTACTGGCTCCGCTTTTCTGAGCTTCAGTTGGAGGTGAAATGGTTGAGAAATTGTCGAATTTTACAGTAATTTTACAGCACCAAGACACAATTCCTTTTTTAATGCGTTCTAAAGTTTAAAGTTAGAAAAAATAATACATTTGAAAGTAGATAATCATGTAAATGAACTGATGCATTTACCATTTTCATAGTGTTTAATTTAAATCAAAGACATGTAATAAAAATGTATGTATATACAGACACACAGACAGACAGACAGATATTTGTATAAATTACATATAAACTGTACATAACATCACATAAACTGTAATATAAATGACAGTTTACATACATGTACTGAGAAAATTTGCACATCTGAACCAATTCCATTTTCACGATCTAGCACCAACAGAGCTCCCCCATTAGACCATACCAATTTGGACCGTACCATACCAGTTGATAAACCACATGTCTTGACACAGGACTCCATCTGTTCTGTGTGGTTTCGAGGGAAGCCAGAGATGAGCAGAGGCCTTTTTTGAATGCCCCCCCCCCTCCAAGATTAACCTGTCTTTCAGTAAGGATGATAGCTGGACTGATCCGTCACTCTGATTGGATTTGAAGCCCGTGCGAGAGAAGGAGATTTGAATGACTTGCCTTCAATCCCCCTCCTCTCTCTACATCTGACATGAGGGTTTATTTACAGTAACACGATCAGCGCCGCAGGCCTTTGAAGTTTAACATTTGCACCAATTGGAGCGGGTTTAGATGCTTCTTCGCCCTCCTCCGTAAGCATTCACAGCTAGTATGAGTGTCATCCAATGTTTGAACATTAAACATAACAGTGCCCAGGGATAAACTGCAGGCCATTTTTGACTGTAACCTTTTAAGAAATGGCGATTCAGCTGTTTAAACTCTCCGATCTGGGGTGCCATTAAAAACCACTTAAGGCTTTATAAGAGGGCGGGCAGCCCTTTGTGAAATTTCCTTTGGCGCAGATGGGATGAAAACATTTTAGTTTTCCAAGAAGAGGTCAGGAAAGGTAGCTCCCTTCATGTGTTTTATAGCCTTGAGTGCCACATTAGCATATTCTGTCTTTTAGCTCGAAAGCTTTCGAAAGATAAAAAACGTTTCCATAATTTTTGATGGTATTTTACAAGCATGGATTTCCCCTCGCTCCTAAATAAAAAGCCTATGGGAAGAAAAAATATAACCAGACCAAAAAACTAGACATTTACACGGGAAGAACAATAGTAAGAAATTCCTTACTAATGTGTTTGGTGTTATCGGTGTAGAAGTTGATGTCATTTACTTAATGATTAGGTAAAGTCTGTTTTAGTTCTCAGGGATGGCAGATTCTCACCCTACTTGTCTCTCAGGCTGTGATCTATCTGAGATGCCAATCCCTTAAGAACATCAGCAAGATGCACTTTTCAAACTAATTGGATCTTCCCCTAAACTATCCATGAAGACAACAGACATGTTCTACAGACACTCTTTTTTGATGGTATCAACATAGATGTTTGTTTTGTCTGAAGCTCAGATTTTTTACAATATAAACCCTTATTCACTGCACGTTACAAAAGCTCCTCATATGCAACAGAGGGGGGACTGTGTGAGGCCGAATAAGACAAGGGCATTGGGTGGCGGAGGTCTGTTCCTCCGGAAATATTTGGACTACAAATAGGATCAGGTCTGACTGTTTATATCTTCTTTCTTCCACAGGAGGATGTTTCCAAGCTACAAGGTGAAGGTGACCGGGATGAACCCCAAGACCAAATACATCCTTCTAATTGACATCGTCCCAGCTGATGACCACCGCTACAAATTCTGCGATAACAAGTGGTAAATTTTTGACGATGGATTTAAATGTTTTTTTTTAAACAGTAATTTTATTTAAACAGATTGTTAATTGTTAGAGGGTCTACAGATGATTTGAAATGTTTGAGCAATGAAAAAAACCTCTACAATTTTCAATATACTCATATGTTTGATTCTTACAACCTCGTAACCTTGACAACAAAGCTTTATTTTAAACCAGATGGGTTTTGAGAAGAAGGCAAAGAGGTAGAAAAAAAAGCAATCATAATAGCAGCTCATAGAAACCTGCTGAGAAAAACCCCGCAAGTTAATGACAATAATAATGTCACATGTACATGGGGGAAAGAGAAAAAAGGAAAGGAAAGAAACTGGGCCTAAAGCAGCAGAACTATGGGATGTTTCAGGGTCATCTGAGGTATCCCCAACAATAAACCTGATCAAAAAGAAAGGTTTTAAACCTAATCTTAAAGGTAGAGAGGGTGTCTGCTTCCTGAACCCGAACAGGCAGCTGGTTCCACAAAGAGGTTTCTGATAAGTGAATGCTCTGCCTCCCATTCCACTTTTAGAATCTCTAAGAACCACAAGTAGACCTGCTGTTTGAAAGCAAAGTGCTTTGCTGGGAAAACATCCAACCGTGAGCTCTTTATGATATGATGGAGCTTGGTCATTGGGAGCTTTATGTGCGAGGAGGAGAACTTTAAATTATGTTCTGAATTTAATGGGGAACCAAAGAAACAGAGCTATAGCTGGAGAAATATGAGCTCTGCTGCTACTTCTGAGCTTTGGCAGGATTATTTTTGATCAGCTGATGGTTTTTCGTGGAATTTTTGGGACAGCCCAATGATAAAGAATTACAACAGTCCTATCTTTATTTGTGCTTTTTAATAAAAGTAAGAACTGGGTTTCCTTGTAGGTATGTAAAGGGTAAATTATATGCTTTTAGAATGAAGACTCATCGGATTATCTTTTCCCCCAAATCAAGCAGCACTATCTCAACACTGTCTTATATTTTCAGAGTGAAGACCAGTTCTGTATATTACTGAGCTACACATAGTACACTCTTTTTTCTTTTGAAACTTACATTTTCTTTTTCTGTTCACTGGTCTATATAGGGATTACAGGGATCAGTAGATATTCATTAGGTGCTGATCCAGTATTAAGATTGATACTTACTTTTAGTTTTTTTTAACTTTGAATTGTCTCCCTTTAATTCCCCACCAAATCTATGTGGTCGTTGGTGTTCCTTTATTGAACAACATAAATACTAGCACTTCTACAACAGCAAATCTAATCATGCAAAGTCATAGATGGTGTATTCAAGTGTTATTTCGTTGGCCGAGACACTGATGATGTGAGGAGACTGAGGTGTGACTCTCAATGTATCCTTACATTGGACTGCACTAATTAAACATATTAGTGTGTCGGCAGTCATCAATGATAACAACTTTGCTGGGTAATGCGGTAAAGAAAAAGCTAATTTATATTAACAAACAGTGGACGTTGAGGCTTTTTTCTAATTTTGCATTACTGGCTGCCATTAGGCATTAATTGTGAGTAACTGGAAATACATGGGGCACTCCATGTTACAGAGATTGCCGCGTTGGTAATTTTTTTTTTTTTTTTTTCAACATTTCTCTCAATCCGGTGTTGTAGGATGGTGGCCGGTAAAGCTGAGCCAGCTATGCCAGGTCGACTCTACGTACATCCGGATTCCCCTGCTGCCGGAGCTCATTGGATGAGGCAACTGATATCGTTTCAGAAGCTGAAACTCACAAACAATCACCTGGACCCATTTGGGCATGTAAGTATCACCAGTGAATCAAAATATCATCAGTTTCCACCACAAAAAAAAAAGTCCTACATTCCAATTCGTTGGACAGCCTTTAGCTTTGATTACGGCACAAATTTGCGATGGTTTTGTTTCAGTAAGCGTCGACAATGGGACAACCTTTATTTCCATCCAGTGTTGCATGAATTCCTGACTAAGATCTTGTATTGATGATAGTAGAGAGTCCGACCACTGCACAAAGGTTTCAAGGATTAAAATGTCCTTTGGAATAACCTGGTTAGTATATTCAAGTCTCACCTGCAAAAAATCAGTGCTCTGCCCATACACTCTGCACAAGAGGAACTACCCACAATCCTGATGCCGTATAAGTCTAGAACAGGGTAAATCTGGACTCTTCAGACCACCTGACCTTCTTCCATAGCTCCAGAGTCCAATGTATGGATTCCCCTGCAAACCGAAGCCTCTTTGGCAACATAGCTGTTCATAGACAATCACTGGAATTCACTTTGCATGGCTCACGTGGAAATGCTCTTACTTTCGCTATTAAACACCGGCCTTAGTTCTGCTGTTGTTTCACATTCTTTCTGACCCCATTTCCTCCATTTCCAACACACCATTCATTTCCGTTATTGGCTAATGTGGCTGTATCAGTGGCACAATTTTCACACAGAGCTGAAGAGGAAGAGTTATTTGGGAAACATACATCTGGTGGGATTTAGCTGAGCCCTAATCGAAGGATGGTGGGAAGTGGAGGAGGCCTTAAAAAGAGAGAGAATGGAGTGAGACAGATTGGGCAGCAAAGGGAGGTGAAGAGTTTGACTGTGGCAGTGCTCCCCAGGGGAACTCTGGGATTGCTTGTCTGAAGCCATCCCATCAATGGGGCGGGCTCATTAGGTTCATAACCTCTCAGATCAGTGGTGGAGCCTGCTGTCAGATTGCGTTGAGTGCTTGGCCAGTGATAAGGGCGAGTAATGAGAACACAACCAGTTAGAGGCCAAGCAGGAGCCAGATGACGCCTAGATCAGGAGGTGTGTGGCGTCTCATAATGAAACAAAGAAAGTCTAATCCACTGTTAGGATGCACATTATAAAATGTGTAAAAAATTGACATACATAATCATGATCCGCAGTCTTTATCTCAAGTTAGAAAGAACGATTTGTTCATATAGAGATTTATATGTAGATATATCCTGAGAAATGTGAACTTAATTAGTTTGTCCTAAAGCTCAAATACATCAGTGTTAGAAAATATATTTGCCACATGGGGGGAAATACCAAAAACAAATAACAAAAGATATTACATAAAAGGAGATGTTGCCCATAGTATTAATTTCCAATTTAAAGCACAAGGATCTTGCATTAAACTGTAACTTGTGCTATACTTGAAACTTGTGGTCCACATTTATATTTCTAAACAACCCCTGAATGCATATATGAAAGTATTTCTCAGCAATGTTGCATGTGATCCAACACCAACTGTTGGATTATACGATACGACAAAGGCCCTGCTCCACATCAGCAGTATGGACTGCTGTCAAACAGATGTTTGTAAACTATTACAGATTGGCTATTATGGGGAGAAATTGAATAGAGGCATTTGAATAGAGATGATTTGTTTTTACCAAGATGGTATTTTAATCTCAAAGAGCAGATCTTTAAACATGTAAACAGCAATAGTGTCAGCATTCAGCAAATTTCCTTAAAACGCTGTAGCATTTGGAAAATACAGCCCTTCTCTAATTATATCCGCTGCCAGTCATCTAAGTACATATGTGAGGAATGGCTTCCGGCCGTCCGCTTACAGACTGTCATCTAGGAATCTTCAGTATCACTATTGGACAACAAAGCCAACGAAAGGTCAATGCAAATCCTTTGGTGATCCAGCCAGTAGCTTATCTCTGTCTCAAGCCGGCCTCAGCAACAGGAGCATGTGAGCAAAGGACTCACAGTGTCCAACCTAAGCCTCATCTCATGGCCTTCTCAACCTTTTCCTCTCTTTTGGGAGCCCTCTTTAGGAGAGGCTTCTCAGGAAAGTGTTGGGCCTGTGAGGAGGGGCCAGGGGGGCAGAGCTTGATGTTTATTGTCGCTGACAGAGCTGGACTAGCGATGACCCTGCCCCACTGTTGCTAACGCCTCGCTGGGCGTGGTGCTGGGTGGAGTGATATCAGTAAGCTGACTTGCTGCCACCCAACAACCTCAACAGCATGCTCACTCAACACCTGGTACCTGCTACAGTGACACACAGCATGCAGGTTTAACATTAAGAATGAAGAAAACTATTTTTCAGCCTCAGAAATATTTCAATAACATTGTTTGTGGCTATCGGTTGGCAGTTGGTGCTCCCATCATCAGTACATCATATTTTAAACTGCAGGCAAAGACTGCATATAAAGAAAGTTCATTTATTTAATTGCACCATCTTCTACCACGACTATGCAAACACCTATACCTATACCCTAAAAAACAGTTCAAATTCGTGAATTAATAAACGAAACATGTAGTTTGTTCACATTAATTCACGTGTACCATTCCAGGATGTCTATAATAAGTAAGCTACCTTCTCGTCCCATTCCCAGATCATTCTCAACTCCATGCACAAGTACCAGCCCAGGCTTCACATTGTTAAAGCCGACGAAAACAACGCCTTTGGATCCAAGAATACTGCCTACTGTACTCATGTCTTTCATGAAACCGCCTTCATTTCAGTAACCTCCTATCAAAACCATAAGGTATGCCACATCTATGGAGGGTTTCGTCCCGCTAAGTTGAGGTGGACCGCCCAGTGGGACATCTTGTTTGGCTATTTGTGTATTTAGTAAATCAACTGTATATAGGTGTGATTAGGTTGTGTAGAAGTTCCTGCCCATGATAGAAAGACTCTTAGTTTGGTGTGATTCATTATTATCACTCGCTTCAATGAAATTTTCTTCTTAGATAACTCAACTGAAGATTGAAAACAATCCCTTTGCCAAAGGATTCCGCGGCAGTGAAGAAGGAGACCTGCGTGTTTCAAGACTACAGGGGTATGTTTATGTGAAACAAAAAAAATAAAATAAAATAAAAAACTCTCTTTAATTGAGGTATCTGAATTCATAATGCAATTTTTAACAAGTCCATATCAGTTCTCTCACTGCTACTCATCCACAGGAAAGAATATCCAGTCATATCAAAGAGCATGGTTCGCCAGAGGATCATTTCCTCACACAGTCACCTTGCGGGGAAACTTCGAGCCGGGGTGTTCACGGGACACCCGCAAGTCCTTTCCTCCTACCAGTACGAGACTGGGGTTCCCTTGTCGAACTCAGAATCCCAGGATTCCGTGTCGAACAGCTTCCCTCAGAGCAGAGATCCCAGCCTCATGTATCACTGCTTCAAACACAGAGGTTAGTCCAAAGTCCAGCCACACTCCACACAATATCAGAGAGAGATGTGTTATTTCATTTGAGTAAAAAATATTCCATTTGATTGTATCAATCCGCAGATAACACCAGACACTTGGAGCTTGGATGTAAGCGACCGTATCTGGACTCGTCATCCGTGGTGTCCGAGGAACATTACTTTCATTCACCCGCGTCATACGAGTCGCCCCTTCTGTCTCATCCATATTGCACCGAGGCCTCCAGAGAAGCTTGCATGTACAGTAGCATAGAGGCAGAGTCTGGAGCAGGGGCGGTGGACGCGGACGACTTGACAAACTCTCCTTCGGTCAACTGCAACATGTGGGCGACGGTGCAGCCCTTCACCCGTTACAGCGTCGACGGCGTTCCCTACCAGCCCTTCGCCGCCCATTTCACCAGCTCTGCCCCCGTCACCCCCATGGTGTCGCACGCGGCATCGTCGATCGTGTCCCGGCCTCAGGCCGACCTGGGTGTCTACAATTCAGCGACGGTACAGAGGGGTCTGCCCGTCATACCAATGTCGCCCTCCTCCTCATCCGGCTCCTCGGCCGTTCCTATCTCCAGACATAGGTTAGATCATCCATCACTGTACAACAAGAGGCCGGGGTCACCGCTTCGGCCCGAGAGACATTTCTCCGCCTATTCCACACCAGGCGCTATATCCATCAGAGATACGTCCTATCAGTACCAAGTGGGGCTGGGAAGCACAGGGAGTCACTGGACTGACAGCTAATTGGGGTGAAGACATTTTTTTTTTCTTTTTGACAAATGTGCATTTTTCAAATTATTCAAAGTTTTCGAAAATTCCAAGGGCTGTAAACGCGAATCAGTGCTGATGAACCACGGCCACTGCCAGAATGCATCCCAAATACATCCACTGCCGTAAAGTCTGATCGAGTTACTGATCCACGGAACGTGTGTGGTGAAAAAAGTCGATGACTACATCGCTCATTGTAGCATTGAGCAGCAAGTGAAGAATGTCCGAATGATCGGCAAGTTGGCACACACAAGAGCAGCTGCACTTTGATTGGTTAACCTGAAGTAAAAGCAGGAGGAAAAAAGGAGAGGCGACGATAGAAAAATGTTACAGCACTTAAAAAAACATTCAATAAGTCTCGAATGGTAAAGCTTATGTCAGTATTCCATTCATCAGTTTCAACACTGAGCGAGTTCAAAGAAAGAAACCGAGTATTTTATTATTTTTCTTATTGACGATGAATTGAGGCGGCACGGTGGTGTGGTGGTTAGCACTGTCGCCTCCCAGCAAGAGGGTTCTGGGTTCGAATCCCGGGGGAACCAGGACCCTTCTGGGTGGAGTTTGCATGTTCTCCCTGTGTCTGCGTGGGTTCTCTCCGGGTACTCCGGCTTCCTCCCACAGTCCAAAAACCTGCATGTTAGGCTGATTGGAGATTGGGGAAATTGCCCTTAGGAGTGAATGTGGGTGTGAGTGGTTGTTTGTCCTTGTATGTCCTATGTGTGGCCCTGCGATGGACTGGCGGACTGTCCAGGGTGTACCCTGCCTCTCGCCTGTTGACCACTGGGATAGGCTCCAGTTCCCCCCGTGACCCCATGAGGGAATAAGCGGTATTGATAATGGATGGATGGATGGACGATGAATTGCCTTAACGGGGAAAAAGCACACCAGTTATTTCCACGTGTCCCTCTGAATGGCCCCTTTAATGCCACGATGTGTCTTGTCTGGCAGATAAGCTCTGTGCCAACTGTTGCAAATTATTATAGCAGCCCAGTCTTGTAATGAACTTTTAACAAGTGTACTTGTCCACATACTCAAAATGCTGTAGCGTTACAATAAAGGTGCAAAAATTGTGATGATTACATGTTTTATTGGTTTTTGCTTTCTGTAGGGTAGGGTCTAGCAAAATTAGCCTATGTTTTATCTAAGCTCAACTGACATGTCCAAAAGTAAAATGTTGCAAAAGAGTTTTGATGAATGTAACTCAAACCTGCTTCCACTACTCCATCCTTTCTCTCCAAGGGGTTCTGAAACTGCAATAGCCATGCATTTGTGACAGTTAAGCGTAGTGGAAAAGAAAGTATGTTCAAATGTGCAATGGAAGAAGTAGGCACGCGACTTCTGTAGGGCCTTGAAAAATCGTACTTTCACAACAATTACATCTGTTACAATTTAATGTAATGTAAATTTGAGGCTTTTACCGATTTCGAAAATCTGATATTGCTATATAATGATTTTGTAACCCAAATCCATTCTATATTTCAATGCATTGAATCCATTTTTGTCAATGTTTTTAAGCTTGATGCTTCTTTTAGGACAAATTCAGTGCCATAATACCCAAACACAAACATTCCCTGTGTTCTACACTTACTTTAAGCAAGATCTGTTACAACTGACGGACCAAAGTGAACACTTTGGGTTCCGGCAGCAGGATGGTGCGTACAGTATTTACAAAAAAAAAGACTGATAAGAATACATAATACAGATACATATGTATTGTGTTTACAAATGGTGTCATTGGGTGGTGAAAACGATTAGAAACCTATTGTTTTAATGGACCTTATTAAAGCATTTGTTGACAATCAGTAACAAGTACAATAAAGCTAGTATTAAAAAAGGGTTGAATCTGAAAATGTTTGTAATGTAAATTCAGAGGTGATTTTTCTGATTATTCCTCCCCAAATCTGGCTCCCTTCAGTGTTTTTCCCAGTGTGTAGCTTAATTAAATTTTAAGACACATGGGAAAAACAGCCCGTCATTACAGTTACAATATTTAAAGGAGCTAGAGACACATTTAAAGAAAACATGAAGTTGTTTATTGGAGTCTGAGCCACATTAGTTTTTAGAAGCTGGCTTTATGATAAAAAAAAGTATATTGACAACAAAGAATTTCTCAGCAAGAACTTATGGGAAGTTTAAAAAGTGTTGCATAACAGAAAATTACTAGGAAGAAAGTTGGAATTGGGAAGGGGACTAATTAAAACGTGCTAGTAAAAGACCATCAATTGATTAACCGTCCCTTTTCCTTTTCAAATTTAAGATAGTTGAATATATTAACCTTTCTGCATGTATTAATTAAGAAAACAAGATAACAATTAAAATTTTGTCAAAAGGTAAAGTTATAAGATAGCATCTCGACTGAATTCTGTGCTGTACTTGGCATAAAAACTGCTTCCTTCCATTAATGAAAGAGGACCTGGTCAAAAGTTGCTGACCTTTCATTAAGAATCTCTTTAATTGAACAACTTTGAAATATAAAAAACAAAGTTTAGATGCAAATTCAAACTGGGAGACTCCCCTCAGCCTCTCCCGCTGCATCCAATTACCTCATCATGCGACTGTGCTCCGGGAAATCACAGTCCAGCCGCCATCCCTCTTCAGCCAATCATCCTGCAAGGCTCTGCTTTTAAACCCCTCCGTACACGGACTCTACTGCTCTTCAGCTTAGCTTCGACCCTCCTCCACCCCATCTCCTCCATCGTGCTCTCAAGCTCCTTCTGGCTTCCTTCTCCTCAGGCCTCAAACTCCACCACCAGTCTCTGGATCCCAGTGGAAGACATCTCTAATCCTAACCATACAATGGTCATCCAAGCTCATTGCTATTCACAGCTTCCACATCTTCTGCCGGGGTCCAAGCGCCAAAGAACTTTCTGATTTTTCAATAAATCTCTCTGAGTGTCATTTTTTTTATGTGTGAGTCTTTCCAGGTTGAAATGGAGCTGTAATCTGATGAGAATGTCCCTGTAAATGCAGATGGCACCTCAATCAGAATACACAATTACTGAATACAGATGGACAAAAAATTAATAAATTAGTAAATATATACATATAACTGTATGCATTTAGCATTTCACAATTTAACAGCTATTTATTTTTTTCCAATTGCCAACATTACAGTAATATATGTGTTTTTTTCCTCCCTGTAGTTGTGGGAAGTAATACCACATCTGTAAAAGCAAATCTTGATCTGACTCCATTTGTCTTTACTTTGAATGTTTGAAATCAATGCGTGCATGAAGAAGTACAAGTTGATCCAATACAGGTGTACGTTAGCAGTGAACGATTTATGACAATTGTTGACAGCAACAGTGAAGCTTACCTTGAATGCCTTGTCCTGGGTCTTTTTTTCCTGCGTCTACAAGCTGCTTCAGGGTACCTTCAGGAAGGGCAACCTCCATAATAAACCTCTGACAGTATCAGAGGCACACACTTGTAAACGTTTGCTTTATTTACTTGCCGCAGTAGTAGTGAGGATTTCATATAGCAACTCTTTATACTTCACCAAGTGTCGTTTTATTCACTCACACCTAGAAAGAAATATATTTCAAGTGGGTTGATGTTTTTATTCAATATAACAAATGTTGTATTTGGGCTTCATGTGAATATGGATCCTTTATGAACATTCCACTCTGCAGAGACATAAATGACAAGTGAGGTACAAATGCATAATTTAAAAACTTTATTTTACATTAATAAAGTTACATTATGTGAGGTTGAATCAATTAATTTGGAATTATTCATTAGTATTCACACTTTATGACACTGCAAGAGCTTTAACAGTCCCCTGGCTTTCTTTATTCGTTTTTTTGCTAGCAGTTATAGAGGAAACAGGGAGCTACTAAACTGTGCAGTTCAAATAAGCTCCCTTCCCCAAAGCCTTTTAAAACTCATTGAAACATTTTTTAAAACGGTTTGTAATATGGCCTTAACTCAAATGGGTTTGTACATTGATTTCACATGCTGAATAAATCAGTGAGGACCACCACCAAGCATCACGATGCTGCCAAACAGAATCGAGAAGGGCACAATTACATTATAGTTTTTCCTTAAAATGTCAAAGGCCTTTTGATAAAAACTCATAGTAAAGGAAATCTGCTGAAAGGAGTGATGGCAGGATGGGGTCAGCGGCATGCCGGCCACTTCATTCTTTCACGTAGAGCTTTCATTAGATTATGAATAATGCTGATGGCTGGGTCCTGGTTCGTGTCAGCACCTCTGTTAGTCAGCTGTTGGGGCAGTTTACATGAGGGACTTGTTTTCACAGAGGGCTGACAGTCCTATCAACCGACTGTTTCGAAATTCTGACATGCAAGTAGCTTGATAAAAGCGATAAGGCATTCCTGCTGCTGACTAATACGTTTCAGCGAGATACGGTACTCCCAAATATAAGTCAGTTTAAGAATCACACATTTGATTTGGTTCCTAAACATCTAATGTACGCTGTTGGTATATGTTAAACGTTTTCACATGAGTTATTTTCAGAATTTATTTTACTGCATTCAGCCTCCGTAGACCTTTTTTTAGATAAGCTGCAAACTATGTAGTCTGAACCCTAACTATAAAAATCAAGTTTTCTATCGTGACTGTTTTTCTCAAAACAAAGTTCATATCCCAAACTTTAAAAAAATTAAAACAAAAAAAACCTAAAATGATTCAGAATCTATTTAAAAGACACCAATTTACAGTCCCTTTCTACAGCACGTTTCAACACTTTTTCAGAAACCTTGTCTCATAAATGACTCTTTTGTGTAAAGCTAATGTATCAAATTAATTCAACTAATAACTGATTAAAGAACATAATATACAAATAAAAATATGGGAGGGTCAGTTTTGAGAGAATCTGTAGGTACTGTAGACATAAAAATCACCTAAAGGTGTCAAAAAATAAGGCAAAGCAAACTAGCATACAAAATCAATTGCCATGAATATAATTTTATTTCTCTGAAATCATTTTTGATATTGCAAGATGCACTTTGTTAAATAGGATAATCATTCTGTACTAAGATCTTTCATGACCATTTATTAGCAAGTTAGGGACTACAGGAGCACTGACAGCTAAACAACATAAAGCACAGGCAAAATGCTTCTGTTAATGAGATTTAACAAACAGTAAAAGGTGAGATTAAAAACAATGACAGAACAAAAGTTCTTACTCTGCTCCTGATCAGACTTCAACTTTCAATATGAATGCGAGAGCAGAAATGGACTGCTGCTGGGGTCAACCATATCTGCAAACAAGAGAAAAATCCAACTGTGACGTTTTCGCTTTAAATGTGCTATTTATAAAAGCTTTAAAATGCATCAAAGTTTTCCATTATTCTAAGCACTTTTATGATGCTGAAATACTGTAGCAAAATCACCAGTTTAAAGTGGGATACCCTTGACATTAAAGGCAAAGTTACTTAGTTTTACACCAAAGGTCCCTGACTTTGGTTTAACAGTTGACGTTTTTAGTCAAAGCTTTAATGGTGCATTAAAGGGCAGGGAAGGCATATTGAAATTTATGTTATCTGACTTTCCACATAAAACCCCAGTCAATCTCATTATAAAGAAGTCACATTTAAGCCCCTTATGGAGCACACGTTAACCAAGCGGTGTATGTATCTCCAGTGAGAGAACCTGAGCATTAATGTCCATCTGGAAGTCATTACGCAGAGATCTGGCTGCTCCCCACTCCCCTGCGTCGCACTGCCCTTCCGTACTGTCGTCCCATAATCCCACCTAACTGCTGCCTGGCCTAGGCTGGTCCATTTCAACATACTGATGTGCTTAAATTGGCGTTCTTGTAAAAAAAAAAAAAAAAAACTTGGTTTTTGGACAAAAATACACTTTAAATATCTGAAGGGGGTTCAATATCAAGTCCATTAGGACTTTTCTGGAGCCCTGTAAATAGTCAATTAGTGGATAATTTTGATTTGATCCACATGCGGAAAGATATGCAACGCAAAGGTTTGGGAGTTCAGATCACATTAATATTAACACCCATACACCACAAACATAGTGACATTCACATTAGTTAAGTAAGGAAAGTTTATCATTTTAAAGTGCCTTAAGTCTTTTTGATCAAACTCATCATCATGATTCATTATGTTCTGGTGACCAGATGAACACAACACTCAAGAGATGGATTACCATCAGTGGGTACTGCTGAGGAGAGTGGGAGGTTTGAGTTCTGGGCCAAAAGGTCACAGAGTAGGTTCAAAGCTCTAGTGGAGGAACATTAAACTGAAACTGAGGCTTGATCTAACATACAGCTGGCTGGCAGCAGTATAAAACAAAGCTAAATCTTCTGGATAAAACTACATTTGAGCTTTTTAAAATGGCTTGAGATAAAAGCGTCCATAAAAAGTAAAAACAAGATGTTTTTGGATTAGACATACAAAAGCAAAGTTTTTTTTTATTCACTCGACACAAAAGTTCAACATTAGAAATAGATTTTTTGGGGAAATTTGGCAGAGCTTAAATAAACATTTAGAACAAAGTATTGACAGGAATTCTTTTGCTTTGGAACCCATTTCAATGCTGAAAAAAAACCCCACACTGTTGTTGACATCAAAACCAAACTAAGAAACGCAGACTATTTGGCATTGAGGAAAAAATGATGAAACACTTCAAATTATAAGAAAAAGCATGTTTTGCTGCCTCTGAGCAGTAAACATTAATGAAAAAATGCCTTGAAAAGCAAAGTATTTGTGTCTTAGTACGCCATTCTGAATTTGTTTTTATTAAGAAGGTTTACAGAAGGAGTGTAAGAAGCATCAGCAGGTAAAACAACTCTCACACTCTCCGCTCTTACCTG